TTTTCTACTCCACCAAAACATTTTATTTTTCAAGAGCTGCACATCTTCCACAGCCCTGGCTGGGTCTGAATTTGGCAGCCTGAATCAGATCCTAATAGAGAGCCGGACGTTTGGATGCAAGTGTCCATCAGTATTTTAGGTTTGGGTCTTTTTATTTTTTTAAAGAATCACCATATTTTACAAGGGTCCTAAGAAGGGGTTCCAGCAGACCTGTGGCTGGTAGGGAGATTGAGAGACCATGACAGTAACTGCAAAGTGAGGAACAGGGTTGGGGGGGAGGGGCAGGCTGATGATTTCGGCTGCTAGGGCACCTCACTTTTGTTCACAGGATGAAGGAATTGAGCAACTTCTTCCTCTTTCTCTGCAACCACGTTTAAAAGTAATTAACTGGCACTTACAGAGTGCTTGCAAAGCACTTTACAAATATCTGATTTTCACAACAAGCCTTCGAGGCATGCACAATTATTATCCTCCTGTTACAGATGAGGAAACTGAGGCTAAAACAGAGGTTAAATGACTTGCCCAAGGGATCACCCAGCTCGTGAAGTGTCAAGAGGGCAGATTAGAACTCAGGTCTTCCTGACTCCAAGACAGGAATTCCTCTGCTCCCAGCTGGCCTTGCTAAGCCACTTGTTTCAACCAGGGTTTCTTTCTTTCACACACTCTGGAAAAGATTCTAACACCTTCCCTCTTATCACTTACTATGTGCCAGGTACTATGCTAAGGACTTGGCTAGGGTCCCGGCCCTTAAGGAGCTCATAGTCTAATGTAGGAGGCATGCCAACAAGTACGTACATACGCATCTCAGAGAGAAGCACTAGGACTGGGATTGGGAAAGGCCTCTTGCAGGAGGTGTTATTTGAGCAGTCGTGAAACCCTTCTGCTTGTATCATTTTCCCCCTTGCCAATCTCGACATTATATTAACCAGGTCAATGTAACACAATGTGCTCTGCTGTCAACTCTTTTATCGACTTGTCCCGTGAGTGGTCGTGCCTTGCCAAACCCCATCAGCCTCCCCTGCTTCTTATTCGTGTCCTGCTGAACAGAGCTCACAGAACTTATTGGAAATTGTCATTTTGACTACTGCAAGGTGATCCTTTTACTCCTCCCTAATTGATTGTTTCACTCTCCCCTACAGCATTTTTAAAGCTCTTTTAACCAGCCTCCCACACCTCTGTTTACAACTTTGCCCTATACTTCACTGAGAGGCCTTTCAACCTCAGTGCCCTCTTCTCCCCACACTAACATTTCAAAACCCCTACCTACTCTGTCGTTTATTATAGCCTCAGATGATATAGCCCTTCTCAACAAGTCAGACTTTACCCTCTATTTGTACTCTTCCCTCCACCCCAGACACCCTGGGGTGCCTTACAGCTGACCCTCTCCCCAGCTAAGTACAGCACCCTCTGGACCAGAGTTTGAGACAAGACGTGATCAATCTTGATCAATTTTAGAAATCGAGGCAGAAGTGGAGCTGTCTAGCCTGCCCCAGACCATGCTTCTCACACACATACCCCATCATCCTGCTGTAGCTATCTGCTCTGCCTCTGCATGCATGCCTTCAGAAGAGAACAGCGTTTATATGGTGCCTACACAGCTAGGCACTGTGCTAAGTAACTGTTTCGTAAAAACAGAAAGGTAATAAAAACAATACTATGAGAATAGAGTGCTCTATGAGTCTAAGCTCCATTCCTATGACTTCTCAGACCAAAACTCCCCTACATGGCCACCACTTCCCCCACCCACCTACCCATGTTGATTCCCCAATTATCAATAAGCATTTATCAAATACTTGGTGTCCAACAGACACTGTTATATATGCTTGGGATTAAAAAAAAAAAAGTAAAACCATTGCTGCCCTTGAGCATATGTATATGGTGGTCAGCAGAAGTTTCAGAGGAGAGAACTTGAAGGAAATCAGACACAAGGAGGTAGAAATAAGGAGAAAGGGCATTCGAGGCATAGGAAAGAGCCAGCACAAAGGCATAATGAAAGAGAACAGTGTTGTCAAAGTTGGTCAGCAAACATTCATTAAGTGCCTACTATGTGCCAGGCACTATGCTAAGTGCTAGGGATAAAAAGAAAGGGAGAAACAGTTCCTGCCCTCAAGGAGTTTGCAATCTAAAGGAAGACACAACTTTCAAAAAACTACATACAAATAAGATACATACAAGATTAACTGGAGAAAGGTCCAGAGGGAGGGCACTTACATTAAAGAGGGCCAGTGTTGTGTATGGGGAACACCAAGAAAACCAGTTTGGCTGGACTCCGTAGAGTTTGGGAAAAAGAGTAATGTATAATAAGGCCAGAAAGGTTGGGGGCAGCTTGTGAAAAGCTTTCAATGTGAGAGTTTACATTTGACTATAGAGGCAATAGAAAACTAATGGAATTTATTTACTAGTAGTGACATTGTCAAACCCGAACTTCAGGAAAATCATGAGCAGTTGTGTGGAGGATGGATTGGGCTGAGGAATGTGAATGGGTGCCCAATTGGGAGGCTTTTGATATAGTTCAGGTGAGAGGTGACGGAAGCTCTGAACCAGGGTGGTGGTCCTGAGTAGAGATAGATACTCAAGATATGAAGATTTGGCCACCCATTTTGTGCAAAGAAGTAAAGTCAACAAGCATTTATTAAGCATCTACTAGATGCCAGGCACGGTGTTAAGCCCCAGGGGATACAAAGAAAGGTCTGAAAAAAAAAATTGTCCCTGCTTTCAAGAAGTTCACAGTCAAATGGGGGAGACAACATGTAAAACAACTTGCACCTGAGAAATAGGATAAATGGAAATGATCTCAGAGGGAACATACTAGAATTAAGAAGGATCAGAAAAGACTTCTTACAGAAGGCAGAACTTAACCTAGGCCTGAAAGTAGACAGGAGATGGAAATGAGAAGATGAGCATTCTAAGGATGTGGGCAAAGAGCCAGTGAAAATGCAGGGGGAGAGGGAGAGAGAGAGGGAGAGGGAGAGGGAGAGGGAGAGGGAGAGGGAGAGAGAGAGAGAGAGAGAGAGAGAGAGAGAGAGAGAGAGCACACTTCTTGTGGGAGGAAGAGAAAGGGGGCCAATGTCACTGGATTAAGCTGTGAAAGGAAGGTGAAAAGTAGGACGGAGATGACATATGATGGGTTTTAGAAGCCAAATGGAAGGTTTTCTATTTGTACTTGGATGCAATATAAAGCCACTGGGCAAGAGGTGGGGAAGGGTTTGGTGTTTGACACAACCATATCTGTGGTTTAGAAACATCAGTTTTATAGATGAGTGGAGGATATACGGGAATGGGGACAAGGAAGACCAACCAGATGGCTACTGCAATAGCCCCGGGAGAATAATTGAATCTATAGGAGGTGATGAGTTCACCAAACAAAATCGTATAGAGGATAAAGAGGGTAAAAAGGAAGCTATCATTGGGGTATTCCCACATTTTTGGGGCACATCTTTGATAAAGATCCAGCAAAGGACAAAGAAGGAGCAGTCAGACAGGTAGCAGGAGAACCAAGGCAAAGCAATGTCCCAAAAACTTAGGGAAAAAATTATCAAGAAAAGGGTGATCAACAGTGTTAGGCTGCAGAGAAGTCAAGAAGGATGAGGACTGAGTAAAGGCCAATGGATTGGGCAATTAAGAGATCACTGGTAACTTTGGAGAGGGCAGTTTCAGTTCAGTGCTCAAGATGGAAGCCAAATGTTTTTTGTTTTTTTAAAGGAAAAAGGAAGGCAGCTAAGGCAGCCTGATTGAGATGTTTTTTCTCAAGGAGTTTAGCCATGAAAGCTTTGGAGGAGAGATATAGGATGATACCTACCAGAGATAGATGGATCAAGTAAAGGTTTTCTGATGATGGGAGAGACATGGGTGTATTTGTAGGCAGCAAAAAGAAAGCCAGGCAACAGGGATAGACTGAAAATCCATGAGAATGGGAGTGATAGAATGGACAACTTGCTGGAGAAGACCGGATAGAAGGGATCACTTGTGCACAGAGGGGTGCCTTGGTGAGGCTGAGGGCCACCTCTATCGTGAAGGAATGGAAATAAATAGTGGCAGAAGGCATCTGAGCGACATGAGATGAGGATGGAAGAGGAGGGAGCTCTTGGCAAATGGTCTTTTTTTATTTTTTATTTTAACTTAAATATGAGGCAAGGTTCTCAGCTGAGAGAGTAGAAGGAGGAGTCGTCATAGGACTTGAGAAGGGATTAAAAAATTTGGTAAAGTCAAGGGAGAGTGGGAGAGGCAAGGTAAAAGCCAAGGTTGTGAACCTGGGTGACTAGAAGAATGGTGGTATTCTCACCAAAAATAGGGAAGTTCTGAAGAGAGGTGGGTCCGAGGAAACTGCTTCATTTGTATTTGTATCCTGGGTTTCCAGCAGTTCTTGACTCATGACAGGCACTTAATTAAAATGTCTATCATTCATTCATTCCCTGATACCTATTAATATGATCAGGTCTCCATCCATCCTTAAAAATGCCTCACTTGACCCTCTTTCCTTATCTCTCCTCCCTTTCTTTTTTTTCTATTTTTTTTTTTAATTTTTAGGCAATTGGGGTTAAGTGACTTGCCCAGGGTCACACAGCTAGTGTCAAGTGTTTGGTCTGAGGCCGGATTTGAACTCAGGTCCTCCTGACTTCAGGGCCGGTGCGCTATCCACTGTGCCACCTAGCTGCCCCTCCCTCTTCCCTTTCTTAACCAACTTTCTAGAAAAAGTTGTATACATTTATATCTGCTTCTCATTGCTCAACCCCAATATCAAGATACTGTCCTCTCTTGGTTCTCTCCACCTGCCTATCTGATGATTTTTCTGTCTGCTGTACCTTCATCCTGCCTCCTACCTTGTATAACCCAAAGCTCTTCTCATCTCTCTCTATATTCTTTTTCGCTGATTTCATCAGTATCCATGGTTTCAGTTGTGGTGTGGGTGTGTGTGTGTGTGTGTGTACACACTTGATTGCATATTACTTCATGAGAAAAGAATTCCACAAAACTCATGATTTTTAAATAATTTTACCAGGCTTACGAATACTCAATATATATCTGCACTGGAGTCACAAAATGAAATGCAGAATTATCAATATGTAAATAATAACAATACCTTACATTTGTATAGAGTTTCACAGTTTTGACAGCACTGGATGGTTCTCACAAGAGTTTTCAAATAAGACACTATGATCTAAACCCAAAATATCACACACATTGTATTTCAGAACTAATCCTGCCTAAGCAGTTTAGTCATTTTTACTCCAACACAATTGTTCATTTTATTCATTACATTCATTGCACAAACTAAGATTATACTTCTAAATCTGTACTTATTTCATCAGATACAATACATAGTACATAATTACTCCACATTTTAACTACCTCAGCAAACAATTTTGTTTATACCAATAAATGCTACTGGAACTATCACATAGAAAATTATGAGATAATTTTCTTTCTAAAGGGCAAGATTTAAGTTAAAAAAAATAACACACACTGAAAATAAGTATATTATCCAAAAGAATTGTATAAATTAAAAAAAATGCTTGAAAAACTTCATAATGTATTTGCAGCTGTGGCAAAGGGTTAGCTCCAAAGAAGGTAAGAACTTAACAGAAAGTAATAACTTGGACTGCTAGACTATAGAGGGTCACAAAACTGGAGAGACTTTTCTTTTGGATTGGATTTAAATACTTTTTTAAATCCCATGAAGCTCCCACTTAAAGCCACTTTACATATATCTTTTAAAAGCTGACTTGCCCATTAGTTATAAAGTTGCTCATACAGATCTCACCATTTTCTAAATATGATCAACTTTCAAACTTGTCTAATACAAGTCTGTTCTTGGATGGAAAAGCATTTTCCTCAAAAGAGATTCAAACTACAAGATCTATGTAATACAATACACATAGGGAGTTGGATTTCTACAGCTACTAACACTAGCCATTTTTAGCTTCAAAATAGTTTTTTTAAACACATCTTTTCCAGTTATTTTTTTAGAAGAAAAATTATAATTCTTTGAAGGAAACACATGACCACTCTTAAAAGAAGAAGATTTAAAATGAAAAGACCCAACAAATCCAATTGTGAGTACATTTCCATTTCAGATCATCTTGGTTCATAGCACAACACTGACTCACTGACATAGTTTTTCCAGTAGCTTACATTAAAAAAAGGAATACCCAATTCCAGGCTTCCTAGATCAGTTCTCATCACATTCAATATTAACCCTGTGCCAACGCCTTCAGGCAGCTCCCCAATAGATTCTTTAAAAGTACCATGTCTGTTTTATCAATGATGCAACAATAAGGTGCCAGCAAAATAGTTAAGAGCAAATACACAATTAAAATGAAATGTTGTTCTTCCAATGCTCTGAATACTGTAGGTTCACATAATTTGGCAACACTTCCTAAGGTGATATATCCAGGTTCACAATCTATGGGATAAGGCCTCATGACGCAATGAATTGTTGATAATATTTGCTCCCCATGCCCAGAGCCACTCTGGCATATACTGCGCAAAAAGAAACTAAAAAAAAACAAAGGAGAAAAAGTTACTAACAATACTAGGAACCCCTCCCCCAAAATTACAGTTATCACTAAAGGTACCAATTAATAAGGCTTCAGAATATTCATCAATTCTTAACAGTCTAAAATACATACAATACTAATCATACAAAATACTGTAAAACAAAAATCATTTCCAGAAAATACTGACTCAATCCTGCAGTTCTATGCTCAATACTGATGGTCATCTAGGATCATCACTACCTAGAACCTGGAACATCAGGGGAATCTCACTTAATTGAAAAGTCCAATCCTTTATTAACATCCTACTTTGATGCCTCAATGTGGTATATTAATGACCCTGAGTTATCAAGTTTATGCCAACCCAGTATAAAAAGTGGCAGCTCTGAAGCTGAAGAGGCTTCTGGTATGAATCGACATTAGACTGTGTGTCTGTCTTCTTAGGAACAGCTCAGTTAGCTAAGTGCAGAAATACTCCTCACTGAAGATATGGCCATTATGTGATGGACTCTGGGGGCAAGAGCAACCCATGACACCAAATAAGGAAGTGGTCTGCAAATTTATTTTTGTCCCTAGTACAGTCTTCTTTGAACTACGAGGAAAGGAGGTACACTAAATGCTTATACCAGCACCACTACTTCAAAGTCAAAACACTGGCACATGCAAAGTTTCTCTTTAATAAGAGAGGCCATTTTTGCTGAATTCTTTACAAGGTCAAGACTTGACATGTTTTGAGTTTAGTACATATGCATAATAGGAAAGCTGTTTATTTTTCAAATATTACATTTACCATATTATATATGTAAGGTAATTAAAATTTATATTAAACAAAAATATTTATAAATTTTATCTTATCTGCATTGATAGAAATTCCAGGTTTTCATGGCACACCCTTTGAGAATCACAGGTATAGAGAAGTGGCCAACTACATGAGTAGAGAGCTTACTCACATGATGAAATCATGGATCCTCAAAAGTATTAAATACTAAAGTAAAAGGCTTAATATTCACCCCATCGATGAAAAACAGAATACACACATCTTCCTTTAAAATATCTGGGACCAAGTAGATGGAAATACATACAAGTTCAAAATTGAATAAACATCTCTCCATCCTGCTCTGCCAGCCTGTCCTAACTAAAGCGTGGTTTTGGCTTCAACTACTAATATATGGTGGCACCGTTTCCTAATTTTTATAATAATTAACCCTAGGAAAGGTATTTATTAACTTAATTTGTTTTTCAATCAACTCTACCTTAGAATGTGTTTGGTATCTTTTATTAAATGTCATAGATGGAAAGCTAGTAATGAGAAGGCTGCTCTTTTCCTGCCAAATTGGTAGCAGGTTCTGAGGCTAAAAATTAATAGCTACAATGGGTAAAATGAATGTTGTTTCCAAGTATGAGAAGAAATGCTTTCCAAACCAATATTAATAGTTCGACAGTATCAATGGTAATAATTCTTGCAGAGTCCCTTTCTATCTGCATTGCAGGCTAGAACCATTTCTCCACTTTTATCTGGACAGTTAACATAGCACACACAAAACCAGGCTGACACACTATAATGCTGAAGCCCTAAAAGTCAAATACAACCATGACTGATACATCTCTTCTAATTTTGCTTCTATTTAGAACATTATATCCACCATAAAAGCTAAAGATATTTGGGATGGAAGAAAGTTTTAAAGAACTTGGTGCCCTCTTTACCTAAAAGAACCCTGAAAGCATGGTACACTTGCACATACTTGTTTGAAAAAATCCAAGCCCATAATAAAACCATGCATGTTTCTTTCCCAATACTTAAATTATTTAAATTCCCAACTATTTCACTAGCCTATTTACAAAGATATCAAAAGATCTAAGTATTTTAAGCATGTTCCAATATGTAATTTTTCATTCTTTACCTTTTAAAAATGCCACAATACATTGTGCAATTTCATCATTAGGTGTAAAAGTCTTCAGAAATAAAGAAACATTTTGCAGGTTTACATTGCTCAGATGACCCTGTAAGCTCCAGTACCCACTTGTATAACCATTACCAGTTAGTGGTTACTAGATTTACCAGTTAGATGCTAATGAAGATATTTAGCAATTTTTACAATTAAGCTCCAATACTGCAAGAATCTGAGATGTCATCAATGTGAACTCCCTTTCCTGATGTAGATGACAATTCCTTTATAATTTACACATAGGCCTTAAGAGTCATTGTGTCTTTTAAAACTCATCACCTTGTGGACAAACCAGTGATGAGCCCCTGCAGACATGGATAGACTCTCCTTAAGATGACTGACATTCAGGCAGTCCATCACTAGGTTTATATTCAAAACATGTCCAGCTTTATAGGAACTACCTGGGTGTGCAATGCCCTGGCATAGTCTTTTGAGAAACAAAAGAGCACCTCTACACAACAATCTGGTATCAAATTAAGATGTATTTTCTGGTGTCATTTGCATTTATGTAAAGAAGTCCTTCTTATATCCATTTTAATTTTCAACAATTTTAATGCAAATATTACTGAAAGAGAAGTTTCCGTGACAACCAAAAACACTGAGGAAATCAATGTAAGAATCAAAACTTTCTGCTTCTCAACATTAGCCTTCACTTAAATTTTTAAAAAAATTAGGAATCATTCCAAAAAATTAAGGTTATGCTGACTTAGGTGAGATAAAGTTCCCAAAATTTTTACCTGAATTGAATGAAACCAGTACCCTGTGGTCCTTTTTGAGATTCCAAGAGTAGCAATTGCATGATGTGCATATACTTTTGGTGATGGCACCAACCAAGAACAGCCATGTAGAAAGCTACTGCACGCTTTCGCATTTGTAGCTACAGAGAATGGGATTAAGCTCTGCACAAAAATTCCTTTAGAAGCATATTCATATTGCAGTGCTCTGCTGAAGTGGTCTAAGTAAGCCTGTTTAAACAGAAAAAAAAAGAAAACATTAATTTCTCAGTTTTCATTAAGAGAAAAAATAGTAGTTAGAGTACTCACAGCTGCAGGCAGAAGGACAACACGGTTTTGCAATCCAATCAAATGATTACAGTATTTTTTTTTATGCTAGGGCTCTTTTCCCAACCCACAATAATCATCACCTTCGATGCCGAGTATGCAGTCATCTGGGGAGTGGGTTTGCAGCAGGAGCCGGAGGAGATGTTCACAATCGCACCCTTCCTCCTTGCCACCATCCCTGGCAATACTATATGGACCATCAAGCTGGCAGCTGCAATGTTTACATCAATAATGTCCCACAGTTTGTCCTCAGAGACTTGAGTAAAATACTGTGGGTAGGGATAAAACACTCCAACATTATTCACCAAGATACCAATGTCTCTGTCTTGCAGTGCTTCTCTAATAAGTAAGTAAATTCCGCGGCCATTGGAGAAGTCCGCAACTATAATCTCTGTTTCAACTTTGTAGGTCTCAGCTAAGGTCTTGGAAAGCTTGTGCAGCTTCTCTTCATTCTGGCTGATAAGGACAATGTTGAGACCTCGGCTTGCTAACTCTTCTGCATACGCTTTTCCAATACCATCTGTGGCACCTGTGTTAGAAATAGAAAAGGTAATACAGCATCTGAGTATCTTTATCTTGTGATATGCAGCATTTGGCCTTGGAACCATCAAACAAGGATATCAAAGACAATCATGTAGGAAAAAAGAGAGAATAAGACCTGAACTGTCTTATCTCACATGTTACCATAAAGTGATGATGTGCTAATAAAAAAAGGTGGGTCAATATGCTGAACAATAATGTTAAATGCTCACCTGGAACAAAATTATAAAATTTTGATAAAATTTATTTAAAGCTATTTAAACTGAATGTGTAATACTGAATATTTCTGTATTTTTTAATTTTTAAAAAAATCTTCAATTACATCCTCGAGGGGCAGCTAAGTGGAGGAGTGGATAGAGTTTCAGCCTTAGAGTCAGGAGGACCTGAGTTCAAATCCAGTCTCAGACACTTGACATTACTAACTGTGTGACCCTGGGCAAGTCACTGAACCCTGAGTGCCTCACCAAAAAAAAAAACAAAAAAAAAAACAAAAAAAAAAAACCAACCCTCATCCTTGAGTGTGTATTATCATAAGAAGGATCTTTCCCATGTTGTAACAAAGTGACTCTATGAGGGTATAACTCCCTAAATTCCAAATTTCATAAAGCTGAGGCAGTAGCCAATAACCATTTCAGAAAATGAAAGGAATCAGGATAAAAGAGGAAGAATTACATGAGAAGTAGCATGGTACCATGGGAAAGAGTACAAGACAAGGAAGGACCGAGGACATTGCCCCTCCCCTCATTACATTCTAGTTCTGGTTCTTCAGTCATCTGGCAGCTGGGTAACCCTTAGGTAAGTTTTTTTCCCTTCTCTGAGCTCAATGTTCTCAGCTGTAAAATGAGAATACCGGACAAGGTCATCTCCGAGGTCCTTTGCAGCTTTTATATTCCATGAAAATCTTTTAAAAATTTTTTCTTCTAAAAATGCAGTAGAGGGGGATATGTAAAAGAGAAAAATATGCATGTAAATATACATGACTTTTTAAATAGTATTTTCCCATTAAAGTACCCAAATGAGTTAAAAATAGCCTTCTAAATAAGATAAAGAAAAAGACCTGACTCTTGATTTCATTGGTCTAGGGCAGTGGTGTCAAACTTAAACAGAAACAGATTAAATTGACTTAGAAAACCACAAATCAATGTTATCTATATTGTACTGTATTTTAATTCATTTTGTTAAACATTTCCCAATTACATTTTAATCAATTTAATCCCAAGGCCACTTGGGAATGAGTTTGACACCTATGGTACAGAGAACTCCTAGGTAAGCAAATTCCCTTTACCAATTAGGTTGATCCCTTCTCTGCATCTTATGATTTCAAAGTTCCCTGGAAACCTGAAAGATTAAGCAATTTGCCCTGGGTTACACAGCCAACACAGTAGGTCAGAAACAGAACTTCAACTTATATTTTCCTGACTTTAAGGTCAGCTCTCAACCATTATGTCATACTTAAATAATACCTATTATTTAAAATTAGATATTAAATTGCTACTTGGATTTTAAATGAAAGTCAAAGTACTGATAATTTAGTTTCTTACCACTGACAACTGCCCATCTTCCGTACTGCTTAATGAGATCCGCTCTGCTCACCAATCTAGGAATGAAATGCAGTCTGATCAAGCTGTAAAAGTCACATATGATGGTGATGCTTTTTCTGGCAGTGTACCAGGCTCCGACCAAAGCTAAAGCTTCCATGTAGCAATTGCAAGACCGGGCAATTTCCCTGTATAAGAGGTAGAAACTGTCAACAGCAGCCATGGCTAACAGAACCCTGAAAAAGGAGAAAAAAGAAAAATGGCATCAATAAGAAGAGTACCTCTGTCTGATAAATTAACACCATATATGTTTCAAACTAGAAAGATATCTTCTGCTTCATGGGGAAAATGAGAATGTGATTCTTTGGCATGAAAGTAACAATGACTTTTTAAGATGTACCTAGCCCATTCAGCTAGTTCATTTAGGGTCTGATTGCTTCATAATTAGTCTTTTAAAAGTTTCTCCTTCCTCACAGGCAAAATCATTTAAAAAGTTACTTAAGACTGAAAGAGCAAAGCCTACTGCAGCACCCCTTCTCCCAAAAACAGTGAATGAAGGGATAAGGACCCTTGCTCTGGAGTTTGGCATGAGGAGGAGGAAAGGGGTGGTTACCCTCATTAGAAAAACTGTACAAACCCAGTGCAATTTTGATTTACTTGATGAAATGCATTATCGTCCTTTGACTAGGGAAGGCAATGTTATTACTGGAAATAATAACACTTAACATTGAATTTTTTGGCTTACAAAGACCCTTTCTCACAAGAGCTCTAGCAGAGCCATGGTACAACGGCTACTGACCCCATTTTGCAGAACAAACAGAAGAAAAGTTGACAAGATTGATCAAGGTCACCAAGTCTCCGAGCAAATATGTGGAACCTAGACCTCTCCTGACTTAAAATCTAGCCCCGTTTTCATTCCCACTCCTACTCCTCTTCCAAAAGTGGTACACTTGGAGCCAAAGGGCCTGAGTTTTAATCCCAGATCCACATCTACCTGTGTGATATGATGCAAGTCACTTAACCTCTTTGAGTTTCAAGCTCTCTACCTGTAAAATCAAAGGCAAGGCTAGGTGCTTTCTGAGGTCTCTTCAAGCTTTAAAACCTATGATCCACAATTCAATAGCCTCCAAAAGTACATCTGTAAATATATACTTGAACAGTCATCTAAAGAATTAATTTCAGAACAAAAGCGTAATTAAAATCATACTTAGAATTGAATACCTAATGGAATGATTATTTTCTCATAAAATTTTATACTGTCAGTTCCAGGTCACGTGAGAAACAAACTGGCAGACTAGACATTTTCTTCTATCTCCATCACCTCTCAAATCTCTCCAAAACAAATATGATGCTTCAAAGAAAAAGCAACTTCAGCTATTTCAATGCTCTAGGACACTCAAAATCCAAAACAAGGTAAAAAAAAAACAAAACAAAACTCTGCAAAGGCAGGAACTGACACTCACTGACCTGGCCTAAGCTCATTCAGCACCTCTCCTCCACCTCCCATGCTACAATAGCAGACTCAAGAACATGACACAGGCTTACAACAAAACCCACTCCTATTACATCCCCTCCATCTTTCCAGTGCCATGGAGACCTGAGCTCCAGATTATAGAAGTTTACTTGGGCCTTGACAGCCAACTTGGCCACAGCCCTTCAGAAGCAAAAGCCTGCTGGGGGCTGCAACCCGAAAGTACTAGTGCTGCAAAGTAATTAACTGCTGGTACCAGGGAGTGGCACAGGTCACCAGGACAGCACACTGTGCAAGTGGGAATGTATACAGCACTTTACCAAGCCTATGGGAAAGAGCACAACAACCAGCTAGGGCCAGTTCTAACCATCTAAAAGTTACTTGGGGCAGAGACCGAGGCTGGTGTACCATAAATTATAGAATTTGAGGAGAACATGGAACACAACACAGTGCTCCTGAATGGTTTAAAAGAGAATGAAAATCATGAGAGCAGAATTTATGTTCTACACAGCAAAAATAATGAGCAGAATCAAAAAACTGTAAGTTGCCATGGCAAGTCTCACCAAAGAAACAAAAGAAAGAACAACAGACTGGAAATGCAAAAACAAAAAGTAAAGGATAATCTAGAAGAGCAGAAGAAAAAACAATAACATTAAAAGAAAATATGTTCACTATGCAAGCAAAACATACTGATCTTGGGACAGCTAGGTGGTACAGTGGCTAGTGCTTCGGCCTTGGAGTCAGGAGGACCTGAGTTCAAATCTGAACTCAGACACTTGACACTTACTAGCTGTGTGACCCTGGGCAAGTCACTTAACCCCGACTGCCTCACCAAAAAGCAAACAACAACAATAAAACATACTGATCTTAAAGACAGTACTGTGCAGAGACAACCTAAGGATCACAGGTCTCCTAAAAGAATATGGTAAGACAAAAATTCTTAATACCACAATGCAGGAAATAATAGAAGAGAACTGCCCATAAGTTCTGAACACAGAAAATGAAATTCCAATTGAAAATATTCATATTATCTCCAGAAAAAAAATCCAAGGCTGCAATCTCCAAGACACCGAGTGGTTAAATTTAACAATTCAATTCAGAAACTACAAGTTTTAAGCAATCAGGAGAGAGACCTTCAATCACAAAGGAAAGGGCATTTGAATAAGGCCCAATTGAAAAAGGCTCAATCTGTGCCCAATAGAAAAAGGAGGAGGGAATGGAATAATGTGTTCCAAAGAGCAATGGAGCTCAGAATGCAGCCCAGAGTGACCATACAGGACAAATAAATGATGGATGTTTAATCATAAAGAAGAATTTGAAACACTCATAGCAAGAAAACCAGAACTGAAGAGATTATTTGCTTATTGAACACACACACACACACACACACACACACACACACACACACACACAGCAGGAGGAGTGAATAAATGGACATAGCAACAGCAACAGGGTCACAACATTCTAAGTGTACAAAAGGAGCCAGGTGAAGGTGAAAATCTAGTGAAGAGTCAGACAGGGCATTATGAAGAGAACCGAGTGACACCCTGCCTACAGGTGAATGCTTATTTTGTGGAACTACATTATAAGATGAGAGGGTATCTAAAAAGGGTGGGAAAGGGAGTAGGGGAATAGAGAGAGAATGTGATGCACCTGGGTCTTATCAAGGGCTAGCAGTGAGAGGAAGGAGAACTCTCTGGCCTCTGAAAGAGAAGAGTCTACAGGAAAGTGGGGGAAGAGGAGGAGGGAAAAATTTAAAAGGGGGGAAAAAAAGGAGGCCTTACTTTTGAATACTCCTATGGGTAAAGAGAGATGGTCTTTGAGGGAGATGAGGATTTTACTCTGGATGAGGCCTGGAAGATCTGGTGCTTGAAAAGTCTACTTGGGCAGGGGAGGCGGGGAAGGAGGGGAGAAGTTGGAACCTCTGGGGGAAACGGGCACCTGGAAGAATGGGAAGTTTTCCAGGCAAATGTCGGGGGAGGGGGGAAGGTCAACCAGAAAAGTTATAAATCAGTGGTAGGGGAGGGACTCTACATGGGGCAATGTCTTCTCTGATACTTACATTAATTGGCATTGTTTTGGGAATAAGACACAATGGAAAAGGGAAATCCATGGTGTAAGCCCTACAAGGCAGCGACAGAAAGTGCCTAGAAAGAAGAACCTAAATGGATACCCTGGACGGGTTGGTTGCATGAAGAACACAGAGAAAAGAGAGACCAGATGATACGGGTTATGAATCAGAGAATAAGGGTCTAGAGTACACAGAAAGAGAAAATGGATAATGAAGAGAGATAAATCCTTTCTGATAAGTGGTGCAAAAAAAAAAATGAAATTTTAAAAACTAATGAACAGGGCTAGCCAAAGGAGAGGAGAGGAAGAAAAAAGAGAAGGAAGAATATATATCCAGACAAAAGTAGGTGAGAAAAAGGAACTGATAAACAAAACCCTATAGAGAAAAGGGTAACAAATGAGAAGAGGGGATCAGGAGTGTTGGTGGGAACAGCGCCACCTTAAAAAAAGATTAAAATAAAGTAACTGAATGAACTAATACTGTGTTTACAGCAGGAGAGGGAAAAAAATCTCAATTAAAAAAATTATAGAGACAGATGGAAGAAAATAAAAACCTAATTCATAACTTTAAATGTGAATGAATTAAACAATCCAATAAAATGAAAAAGTGACAGATTAGATAAGAAAACAAAATCCTATGATCTGTTGCTTACAAGAAATATGTTTTAAAAAACAAAGACATACACAAAATAAAACTGAAAGTATGGGGGAAAAATTACTATTCATCAAGTAAATTCAAAAAAGCAGGAGTTACCATCATGCTATCAGATAAAGCAAAAACATTCAAAAAATAAAAAGGTTTGATAAACAAGGAAATTACATTATAGTGAAAGGAACCATAGACAAAGAACCAATTATCAGTAATAAACTTGTGAGTTCCACTACGTCCAAAGGGCTATAAAAACGTGCATACCCTTTGACCCAGCAATAGCACTTCTAGGGCTCTGTCCCAAAGAGATCATACAAATGGGAAAAGGACCCACATGTCCAAAAATATTTATAGCAGCTCTTTCTGTGGTGGCAAAGAATTGGAAATTGAGGGTATGCCCATCAATTGGGGAATGGCTGAACAAGTTGTGGTATATAAATGTAATGGAATATGCTATAAGAAATGATGATCAAGCAGACTTCAGAAAAACCTGGAAAGACTTGTATGGACTGATGCTGAGTGAAGTGAGCAGAACCAGGAGAACATCAGATACAGTAACAGCCACGTTGTGCAATGACTAACTTTGATAGACTTAGCTCTTCTCAGCAATGCAAGGATCTAACACATCTCCCAAAGTTTCATGATGGAAAATGCTATCCACATCCACAGAAAGAACTATGGAGTTTGAATGCAGATCAAAGCATACTATTTGCTCTTTTTTCCCTCTTCTGTTTTGTTTTGTTTCTTCTTTCTTATGGTTCCTCCAATTGGTTCTAATTCTCCTTTACCACATGACTAATGTGAAAATATGTTTAATAGGAATGTATATGTAGAGCCTATATCAGATTGCATGCTGTCTTGGGGAGGGAGGCAGAAAGGGAGAGAGGGAAAATTTAAAACTAAAAAGCTTAAAAAAATAAACTTATGAGTTCCAAATGTTTTACCATCCAAATTTATAAAGGAAACATTATCTGAGCTTCAAAAAACTCAGACAGACAAAGACAGTGACTCAACATTGACAGGAGACTTCAATATCCCTCTATCAGTTTTGGACAAGTCTAACAGAAAGATAAACAAAAGGAAAAATATGAAACTAAACAAGTCTCTGGAGAAGTGAGAGTTAAAAGACTTATTGGCATCTTCTAACTGGAACACAAAAGAATATATATTTCTTTTCATCGCATAAAAATTTTACAAAAATTGATTATGTACTAGGACACAGAGATATTGCAAACAAATGTAAAAAGACAGAAATAGTCAACACATCCTTTACAGACCATGATACAATAAGAATAGAAATCAGTTTGGGGACCACAAGCAAAAGACACATACTCCAAAGAGACTTAACAATGAAATCTTAAATAACGAGTAGGTCAAAAAACAAATCACAGAAACAATAACTATATAAGAGAAAATGATAATGATATAAAACAACATACCAAAATTTCTGGGATCCAGCTAAAGCAGTCCTCAAGGGGGAAATCATATCCTTACAATCATACATGAACAAAAATTTTTAAAAAAAGAGGATTAATGAACTGAATATGCATTTAAAGAAATCAGAAAATCAACCAAAAGAACCCTAAAATAAGCATAAAAGGAGATATTAAAATTAGAGAGAAAGTACATAAATTGGGAACAAAAAACATAGAAATGATAAACAAAACTAAAAACTGGTTCTTTGGAAAGACTAATAAAATTGAAAAATCCTTGGCTAATTTCATTAAAAAAGAGCAGAAAATCAGACCAATAAAGTAGCAAATGAGTAAAGTGAAACCACAGCAAAATCAGAAGAAATAAAAAGAATAATCAGAACATATTATACATACTTACATGCTAACAATACTGAGAATAGAGAGGAATACCTTTAAAAATATAAAATATCCAAACTACCAGAAGACCAGATAGAGATGTTAAATAACTTAATCTTGGAAAAAGAACTAGGTCTAGTTATATAGGATTACTAAACAGAAAAAAAAATTCCTAGTTCTTACGGATTCACAGCAGAATTCTACCAAACTTTTAAAGAACAGTCAGTACCCATACTTCACAAATTATTACCAACAACTGAGAAAGAAAACACCCCACAAGAATCCTTTTGTGAGATAAATATAATTCTAATACTGAAACCAGGGAAAGACAAAACATAGGAAGAAAACTATAGGACAATGACTCAAAAATGCTAAAATTCTATCAAACAGACTACAGCAATTTATTCAAATCATTAACCCAATTATCCAAATCATTAGGTGACAGAGGGAGTCTGGATGTGGCAATGGGGAGCAAGGAATAGTCTACCTTCCCTACCATGAGAATAGTGAGTCATGAGATATGAGCTAAAGTCAAGTCAACAAGCACGTCTTAAGCATCTACTATGTAGTGGGTAAGTAATTATGCTAAGTGCTGGAGATAGAAAGGGGAGAAAAAGAGTGCCTGCCCTCAAGAAGTTCACAATCTAATGGAGAGACTATATTCAAACAAGATATAGACATGATAAACTAGAGATAACTTCATAGGGAAAGCACTAGTATTAAGAGGAAACAGGAAAGGCTTACTTGCAGATGGTGATTTTAGCTGAGACTTGAAGGAAGCCAGAAAAACCAGAAGGCAGAGATAAGGAAGTAAAGAATTCCAGACAAGGAGTACAGCCTGTGATTTTGTATAGAGTGTTTTGTTCCAGGAACAGCAAGGAGGCCAGTATCTTGGCCAAAGAGTATACGGAGGTAAGGTGAGGAGTAAAATGTAAGAAGACTGGGAAGGTAGGAAAGAACAAGGATATGAAGGCCTTTAACATCAAAATTGAGGATTTAATATTTGATCCTGGAGGTTTTAAGGAGCCCCTGCAGTTTACTGAATGCAGGAGGTAGGTGACACTGTCAGACGTGAGCTTTAGGAAGACCAATTTGACTGCTGAGTGGAGAACGGACTGCAGTGGGGAGAGACTTGAGGCAAGAAGATTAATCAGAAGGCTACTTCAATAGTCGAGGCATGGTGACGAGAACCAACGCCAAGGTGGAAACAGTGTCATTGAAGAAAAGGGTACATAGATGAGAGATGGTGCAAAGATAGAATTGACAGAATTTGGCAACAGGTTGAATATACGAAGTGGACTACAGAGAGTTGAGGATTACACTTAGGTTGTCAGCCTCAGTGACTGGAAGGATGGTGGCACCCTTGACAGTAATAGGGAGGTTAAGAAGAAGAGTTTTCTCAATTAATGCCAAAAGAGGAAGAAAAGGTTTGGGATGAAAGAATATATGTTAATTTTAGAGTAGGCATTCCAGAGCTCGTAGTGGAAGGGTGGGTAAACTCACTGTAATGGAACTTTGGGCAAGGGAAGTTAAGGCTGAAGTAGATGAGAGTAAAGGCGTTTGTAGCTAGGGTTTGTACATATGCATCTAAGGGGTTCAGTATAAGCAAACAGGGTGAGTACAAGCAAAAGTATATTCAAAGGGCATAGATAGTCCAGGAATAAAATCAAAAGATCAGTTTTAGACAAACTAAACTTGAAATGACAAGCTGTCAAGGTGGAAATGTATAGCATGAATTTGAGGATGTGAAATTCAGAACAGGCAGTTGTTGGCAGTCAACTATGTAGACATTATAGGTGTTATAAAGACCCCAGACTCAATTCAGAATTCAGCCCAAGACTGGGCTGGCTGAATTCCTCGAGCTGGGCAATAACGAAATCACAGCTGTGGAGGGAGAGAAGAGATACCTTTATTGTCAATTCTCACAAGAACGGGGTGTGTAACACACACCCATGGAGAAGCAGAACAATTGATTATACAGGATTACTTAGCTTTAACCCCACCCTGTCCCACCCTCCCTTTCATCC